AGTTCAGGAACAGTAGTTTCCCTTTCAGAGAGTACTTGTTTTTTGTTTACTCTGTCAATAATTTGTTTGAAATCATAACTAGGTTTGATAACCTGATTTTCAGTTTTCTCTTTAGCAAGATATTTGACTAAGGCATCTCTTTTCTCAAGTGGGTCAATAATCTTGTCAATGATATCTAAAACTAGATTTGTTCCTCAGTAAGGACATTAAGGCTTAGGCCTTGCATATCTAATAAGGCCTTATAGTGATCACACTTACATTCTTTTTCAGTGTCACTGTCGTTATCAGAGGTTTCAGTATTAATTTCATAAATTTCATCCTCTGAATCAGTCTCAAGAAGGGATAGGTCTTCATCACAGGAGTCACCTAAAAGAAGTACCTGTTCTAATTGTTTTCTGAGACCTTCATCAGTTATTTCATTTATTTTCTGTTTTGTTCTACATCTGTTTGCATAGTGCCCATAACGACCACACTTTTTACAAACAGGTATTTTTCCTATTACTTTCCTATTTTTAGGTTCAAAATCTTCCTTATTAGATTTAAAAGCCTTTGTTTTGCATCTCCTGTAATATTTTCTATTTTTTTATATTCACTTCTCTTAGAACTCTTATGTTTTTTAGAGTGAGTTTTTTCATGGAATGGGTAGTATCCAAATTGTTCACAGAAATCTCTCATTTCTCTTTTCCCAATAATCTTTTGTTTTTCTGTCTTTTAAGTTTGAGATCAGTACAGAGTTCTAGGCCTGTAGCACATATTTCATTATCTAATTGGCCTAAAGTATAACTTTCATAAGGGATTTTTTCCCCTCCATTAGCATTCTTAAGTTTTGTTTTAACTTTTTCTCTAAATAAAGCAGGTAACCCATTTAAAAATTGAGACTTCCAATGCACAACTCTAGCGTCATTTCTAGTCAGCAATTGGGTGTGGAAAACATCCTTATACCATCTATAATGAGAGAGATCAGGACACTTTAGATTTTCTAAGAGTTCTCTGGTTCACCCATTCCGAACAGACGTAGCTCCTATAAAATGTAGAGCGATGGTGTAAATTAGAGTGTTGACACAATCATCTTGTTGAGAGGGTATTTCTTGTTTAATACCTTGATTGTAAACAGTGGTAAGAGTCTGTTTTTTAGCATTAAGGATAGTATTTTTCTCATCTTCTCGTAAATAGAAGTCCCACCATCCTTTCAATTGCCCTGTAAACCCGTTGATTATGGATTTTGTGATGTCGGGATCTCTATTAACATGATTGGCAGAAGCTTCGGCATACATTACTCTCTAATTTATCACTAAATTCATCAAGAATTTAGTGATGAATTTTATATATAATTCATGTTTCAAAATAGTTAAAGTTTCATACTCTCTAATTTTAAATTAGTTATTATAGGTTTCCTTATCTCGTTGATCCTGATTATTTACGTTTCCATTGTAATGGAGCCTTGATCAAATTTTCAGAATGCTTGGAGCCAAGCTAAGGTAGGATTAGAAGTCAAGCAGGCCTGCACATACACTTCTCGAGGCTGACTGGGTTTTCACACTCTTTTGTTGGGGGGTACATGCTATCTTGACATGAATGAGACTCTTGGAGTTCATTCTCAATACTCGTGTAGTACAGAGTGACTCTATTAATTTCATTTATTGGCAAAAAGGAAGTCACTCTATACTTGAATCCTGGCAACTCCTCCACCTTGAGATCAGATACCATAGGGAGCTTTGTTCTTGTCACAGCCCTGCTGTCCCAGTGTTCAACCCGATCCCAGTAACTATGTCGTAGACCTATGGACAAAATCTTGTAACATCTATGCATAAAATCATTTTCTTCCTTATCTTTAAGTTAACACACATTAATGTAAGACGTATACATCATGTCCAATGTTCAAAAAAACGGATTCAGGCACCTAGGCGGTTTGGGTGCCTGGCAGCCTAAGCGGGTGCCCAAGGACAGGATGCCCTCACAAACATCAATCCACCCCCCCCCCCCGGCACCTCAAACATAAGACACTAAGTATTACTTTACAATAAGACTTAAATGAATAACTGAATATATAAGAAATTTTAAGACTTTAGTTTCACTTTCACATAAGACTTAACCCATTAAGATATCACATAATCAATTATTTATCAAATAAACTAAAACAAAAAAAATCGAATATCAAAATAAGACACATTGTATAAAAAAAGAATCAATTATTTATAAAAGAATACGATATATGCTCGATTTCATCGTCCAAGTGAGAAAAAATCAATAAATCACCAAAAAAATCAATCTTTTCACTACAAAGACGTAAATATATGGTAAAAGAAAAAAAAAAAGTAAAAGAAAAAACGTATTATTCATAACATAATATGTTGTAGCAAAATAAAATCAAAACCCTCTTTCAAATATAATAATACGTTAAAAATATCAAAATCAAATCGATGTCAGTGCAAACCTCGTCTATTGGGTTGCCAAAAGTTCTCAAAATCAACTATTAGAAGCTCCCAATCTACCCACGAACTATTGCCTTCATTTTGGGAAGAAATCGAAAAAATAAACAATTTATCGATCTTTCGATAAATCACAAAAGAGTAATTTTTAACGGTTTTTCTTACCCTAAAGGCCACGGATTTTCTATTGGGGGTTTAGAATACCCCCTAAAACCCTTTTCCCCCCTTTTTAGGGGGAAAAATTACATATTTTACCCTCACCTGAGGGTTTTTTTCTGCCGCCCGCAAGTTGTCACGGGACAGCACCTAGGCGGGCACCCAAAAGCAAAAACGCATAATGCCCCTGCCCAGACTGCGCCTAGGCGTTTTTAAAAAAAATTCGCCACGGTGGTCGGGAAGCCGAATTTTCGAACATTGATCATGTCGCATCATAAGAAGTTCAGACAAAACACTGCGTTATTCTTTTAAGGGGAGGAGTTTTAAGTGTCAAACAATATGACAAATTAGATCGTGACAGGTAGATAATTTCTCTGCCTCTCATTCATCTGTCCTTCCCAAAATTCTCTAAAATTTAACGTGTCCGATTATGTATATATTCTCATCTCAAATATCATCTCCATTTCCTCCATCTCCTGAACTAGATGATAGAGATGTGGATGGAAGTTGTTATTAACAACTTACCAGTGCCCCTCCCTCCCTTTGTTTGCCCATGCATGGCACCGCCCAATGACTAGTAAATGAATCTACCGCCATGAATTGGGAATCTATTCCAATCCACAACTTAGGAGAGAGTTTTGTGGCAAGTGGCAACATTACCAATTCTATGAATCTAATAATTTGAATTACAATAATGTGGTGGAAGGCGCAGGTATTCAAGGGCTGATGTAGTAGAATTCCTCCATGCTATATGCAATCTACCAGTGAAAATGTTTATCTTTCCAAGTCCATCCAATAACATCTTCAAATTAGACACCTTCTACCATATAAGGCCCCATTAACAACTGAGAGAAAAATCCAAGCCTAGTTAGAAGGCTTCAGCCTCGAAATTCAGAACATCCATGAATCCCCAAATCCCACAGACTATCAACCCCATCCCTGAGCTATGTCTAACAATAAGCCCAATGCCAGAAGGGTGTAGGTTACCTCCCCCAATTCCCTAGTCCCAAAAATACCATCAGCCACATACCTGAGATATATCTAATAAAAGCCCCCAAGGCAAGAAGAGCATAGCTTACCAAACTAGCACCCAGGAAAGTTCAGTTAGTTGACCTTCCAATGGAGTTAAGAAGTGGCACGAAGTCAGCTACTTGAGAAGGAGCTGCAAGCCACTGTTAACATAGACTTGCAATTGTATCTTCATGTGAAGTCCCAATAAAACATCAGATTCCAAAAAAGTAAAAAAACGACTCCCAATAAAACATCTTGACACAATTTTGAACTTCCTATTTCAAAAAATAAAAATATGATGAATTATTTGATTTGTTGGGGCTCTACTGAGTCAACTCAATCAACATATATCCAGCTGAATAAAACACAGTCCCAGCCATATTTTGGAAGAAATCCAATCATAACTCCCAATAACTCGATTTCTTGTCAGTTGAGGTTCAATCACCCAATTCAAAGAACAACGATCAAGACCAAAGATATTGAAGCAATCCTGACCATATGGTGTTCAAGCTATCAAAGTTCTCTAATATTTAATTTAACATGGATAGGAAATCTCCCATTGTTCCTATGCAGGAGACTCTTAGGATCTCATCCCTACCTGCCTATCCAGGAAAGAAACGGAACACGCCCTCCACACCAGCTAGGAACACTCAATGCACTCATTCTAAAGTCTAAACTGTTTCGCAAGAGCAAACAGTTGTCTTAAATGAGGCTCTAAAGCTCTCATTTCAGAACACGTTTTTCAAGAAGCAAAGGAGAAGTCCTGAACCTTTTTGCCAATTGATATGACAAGTTTTTAGAAATGAAAGCAGATCCTTGTTGTTATACACTAGGTACACCTGAAAATAACTGATGGGCAAACACTACAAGATCTCAATCCATTCTCTTTGTTTCAGAATTGAAGATAGGACTACCGGTGTTACATGCTAGTTTAACACAGTTTTAAGTCTCACAAGAAAAAGAGGACAATGACATTTAACTACCACACAAATCCTAGATGAAATGCAAATTCAGATCAGAGCATGCTGCATAAACAACTTATAAAAAAAAAAAAGGAAAACAAAAAATTGATCTTCCAGTAACATGACATGACACAAGTAGAAATCATCTGCAAGGACAAAACTCTGCAAAAAAGAATACTCTGAATTCATATGTAGGCATCTAGAATTGTTAACAGCTGCAGACAACATGTACAGGGGAAATCCTATAATCTAAGAGGTGAAGCAATTGATGAACGAGGATAAAAAATCCAAATAACCGATAGCAAATCACATTTTAAGTTATAACACAATGCCAATTGCATAAGGTAAATCCACGAGAGAAAAAGATTGTAGAGAACTAACAATATCACACATTTGTTCATATTATTCAGAACAAAAAACAAGTCAAGAGTTCAGCACAAACCGCATCCTCAATATTAAAACCCTTCGTCCACTTAATTAGGGAGCCAGAAGAAATTGAGGTTTGCTTTACAGGAAACGAAAATGTAAATCCCAACTCTCTTTGTCGTCCAACAGGTAGCTGGAATTCATCACCCTCTGTAGCAACAAATTTTGCCAGCTCTGCAGCAATGTAATCAAATAGTTCCTGAAATCACAATCATTGGTTTTAGAACCAATTGTTTCCACTAAAATGGAATCCATTTGACAGAAACAAATAAACTGCATCTAAATACCCACATATGAAGTGCCAACCATCAGATTAGGAGGAATGGAAACTTCAGTAAATTCCTGCTTAGCAACGCGTCCTTCTTTTCCCCCTAGCTGTACACGCAAGACTCGGAAATTTGTTCCACCAAGGTCTAAAGCATAAAATAATCCTTTCTCATTCCTACAAATAAATAAGAGCAAGAAATTAAGGGTAAAGGATACCAGAAATCGCAAAAGGTTAGTGTGATTTTATTCATTTAAATTGATATGCAACAGAGAATCATCTAGACACTAGATAAATACGCAGATGATGATATTCCCGAATCATAACAACAATAATTAATCATGCTTGGCAAATCATGCAGATAAACAATCCACAGAGAAACATTAATAAAAGAACGTCAAAGACTACAGTCTACAACTATTTTTGGATAACTAGTTGATGCTAGGTGTTTAAGTGCATGCATTACTATATTTTATTGATGTCCTGTTGACCAAAATTTTCAAAAAGTGGATTATGTATACAGAATGAAGAACAAAAACAATGCTAAAAACAAGGGCTCTTGTGGTTAATGTAATAGAAAATAAGAAAAGTGCAAAATTTTAAGGCATTCATAATAGACTCACTCCCAAACAGCTCAATGCCCACATTCTGGTTTATAATATATCCATAATTCCATATACTGAACCAGAAAATACCAGAGTAATAAATTCTAGTGAAATGACAAAATCCTTCATCTCATAAAAAGAATTAAAACTCCAGAATTCAGGAGTACACACAGACAGGCACACATTGCGCACCATCAAGCACATGCAGAGAGAGAGAGAGGGGTAGGGAGGGAGGGAAGGTTAAAACACATCACAGGATAACTGCAAATAGTGTTCGCATTTGACTCAAACATCACAACTGAAAAGAGGACAACTTAATCCAAATATGACCCTGATCCTACTCCTTTTAAGAATGATAAGGTAAGTAAATAGAATAGCTGAAGTAACCTAATGGAATTCAAACCCAATCGCGAAGAAAACCATACCATTATGAGATGTTATGAACAGTGCACCACAATGTATAAGCATTAAAAGAAAAGCACTTCATCTAGATTAAAAAATCAATATCAATTAGCATATCAACGAGGAGAAGGGCCAATCATGAAAAAACAATATCTGAAATATTTACACACCGATAAATACACACTGATAAATCCGAATCCAGTGAAAAATCAAATAAAAAATATTAAAAAAACCACAAATGCATAAATCACATCATCCCCAACCAATCTATATCTATTACTTCATCTGAATTTATTTTATTTTTCAAACAAAAAGAATGGTGGGTAAAAGTACATTGACTATTTTCTTTGACCCAGCAATAAAATACCATTCGATAAAAAGAAACAAACCCACCAAAAAAATCTCAGAGAAATATATAAATCACGTCACCTCATCCTAGCTAAAGGAACCAAAGTGTACCCATAAACTCATTGACAAAAAATTGAATTTTGTAAAAGGTATAAATAAACACATTGACAAAAAATTGAATTTTATAAAAGATCTAAAAATAATAATGCCATTCAACAAAAAAAAAAAGGTTTTTACCCAGTTGGAAGATTATCTACATAGCTAAGAATCATCTTCAGCTTACTGCCGCCTTCTGATGCTAGACCGGCATGCATTTCTACATGCATCGCATCAGCCACCTGTCGCAGTTTTTGAATGGGAGTAGCACATTGGTCCTCGGTTTCTTTCAGAATGGCGGAAACCCGCCCCCACTGCCTCGAACTTTTCAGTCTATGCCTCATAACTAGGGCAGCCACCGCACAAGCAGTTGCGGCACAAACAACAGCGGCTCCTACAGCTACTTTTCCCATTCTAATCTTCTCTTCCGCAACAAAACTCTGAATTATTATCCTATAAAATACGCAGTCACAATTTAACGATTGAAATAGATACCTAACTGATTGAATTATTGAAATTGAATTAGATTGAAATAGATACCACTGATTGAATGATTGAAATAGAATTAGAGCGAAATAGATAATCTAACTGAATACCTGCTGCTGACCAAATACTCTCCACCTCACCAATACAAAGCTGAAAGAACGAATTTTCTCTAAAGCAAGAACTCAGCCACACAAATCTGGAAGGACGAATTTAAACCCTAAGGCTCAAAGAATTATAGCGCCTCAAGGCGTTTGACAGACGAATTTGACAAATCTGAAGGACGAATTTAAGCCCTAAGGCTCTCAAGGAGTTTGGTTTCAGCTAAAAAATTATATACGATGCAATCTGAGGTGAAAATAAAAGAAAAAGCTCAGTACCAGATAAGTAAAGTCAATAAAACATTACATTGTATCTATCTATTTATATCGAGAGAAATTTAACGATTGACGATAGGCTATCATAACAACAAAAACGATGCTTATCCGCATGTAAACAAACACGAGGACACCTGCAAATCCTAAATAAATAGAAAAGGAAAATATTTTGAGTTTTATTAAAATAAGTAAAGTAATCACCAAATATTGTAATTCTTGAAAAAATTAATTGATGTTAAAAAAAAAAATTAAGATTTCAATCGTTAAAGATAGTGTATCATAATACATTATCTAAACCGTCTATTTCTCCCATCAGAAGTACCTGTTCATAGGTCCGTGGAGATTTCTGATTTCTGAACCGGATTCAAAGTAAATTTTATACGGAAATCTAGAAATGTAAAAAGAGTCAAAGTGTCAGATATTCACGAAAATAGCCCTCCGCGTTTTGTGGGGTGATGACGATAATGGCCCGGTTTCTTATGTAAATTAAAATATTTGTCTTTGCTCTGTTTTCTTTTTAACGAAAGTAGCCCTCAGCGTTTAGCGCATTTTCAAAGCGTGTTACCGTTGGCTGGGAATGATATTCACGAAATCTTTGTGATATGGAATTTTAGATTCTCACTTTTCAGAAATTTATTTTGAGGATATACATATGAATAGTGGATGATTACTTTGTGATAAAATTTAATTATGAGTTCAAGACTTGAATCTAGTTATCCAAAAATCTGATTGTTTGCAGCTAATTTTAAGATATTATTTTTAAAATTAGACTATTTAATTTTTGTGTGAGAATATCACAATAATTATTCACCATCAAATGTGCATTGGGCATAACGCCAAAAAAAAAATTTCTTGAATATCATGATAATTCAATATGTTTAATTTATTTTTTTGCACCAAAAAACCGAATAAACTTGGTGATACGATTAAAGAGAGTACATCTTGTAATAAAATGTACCAGAGGAAATGTACAGTATGCTCTTAATTAAACTTAAAATCCTTTGATCAATTAATTTCACCTCTTTAAATTAACTTTATCTGAAGATGAATGCTGGAAACTTTTACGATAACTTAAAAATCTATTTTTAAGTTTAATTATTATATTCGATGCTAAAAAAAATAGTGCAAATTAAGCATATCCATATATTAATATGTTACTAGATAAACCCTTTCTAGAGCTCTTTTTTTCAAAATTTATATTTTCATGATTTTTTTAAAATTTTAATTAGAGTGATTTTTTTTTTTTGAAAACTATGACGCTATGAGAACATTTTTGTAATTTTGTATAGAAGCGAGGTTCATAAATTCCATAAAGGTAGCGACCTATCCTTCCTAAAGCTAGGGTTAGAGTAACTGAATTCCAACACGTGTCATATCTGAAACAAAGCTGACATTAATCTGACGCGTGGCACGATTTTTAGCATGTGCTGCTTACGTGCCAAAGACTACGCCTCGTGTGACAGGAATCATCGCATATGACCAGACGGCGTAATGCTCCCAAAGGGTATACATCTATCCCATATATGACATTTTGGTCAACGTTTAGGATTATCAAAAAAAAAATTTTGTATGAAGTTCGATTATTTTAAATTGGGATGTGGTTTCGAAAAGGTTGCAACTTTAAACAATCCAATTAAAACGTACTTTAAAATTTTATTATAACATGTAAATTTACTGTAAAAAATATTTAATATTATTTTAAAATCTATTTTATACATAATTATAAAATTTTGAATTTCAAAATTAATTAAAATCAAGTAGATCTATAAATATATAAAAATCTTAAAAAATGACAGTTTAGATAATGTGTTGCAAGATGCACTATTTTCAATACTCAAAAACATTTTTTTTTCATATTCATGTATCTCAATGTCGAGATGATCGATTAGAGGGTTTTTTCAACATTAAAACAACATTTCCGATGCCGTAGATTTTTGAGGTGCATATGTGATTCTACATTTTAAGGTTGCAACTTTATAAACTTTTCCCTTTAAAATTTATGGAGAGAGTTTTAAAAAATGCGAAGACAAGCATGACAGTTAAATCCTTTTTATTGTAAAAGAATTCACCCAACAGCCCTTGGTAATGTATTTAGCAATATAAAAAGAGACAAAAAAAAAAAAAAGGGAGACTATTGTTCATAAATTTATTTTACATTGAACAATTTATAGAAATTACCAATTTAACACCCTCATATTTTCTTTTCTTTTTTTTGAAAATATCTCCTACAGTTTAGTGCATCCAATATTCACACTAAGGGCCATTTGGGTACCAATCTATTATAGGTACATGCTGGTAAAATGTTGGTAATGTATTTTTTATATTTTTTCTAAACATGGTAAAAAATAATAACAATGTACATCTAAATACTACTCAAACAGTAACAATCCATTTACATATAATGTATTATAGTAGTAATATATTTTCAGGTATCCAAACGACCCCTAAATTACAAAAAAATCACATTGCTTTTTATGGACGAGGCAAAATGGTGTATAGATTCTTATGAAAACTAAAGAGCAATTGCTTGAGACAAACTGTACCCGAATATTATGCATGATAATAGGGCTCTATGGTGGTTCTGAAGGACCACAGTCAATCACTGCTCCATTGGATGGAATATATAGGTAAGATGATTTTTACGATATCAACCTTTTCTAACTATATATGATTCACCCAATGATCAATAATAAAGAAAAAAAAAAAAGGTATTTTGAGCTCCCAAAACCATTGTTAATTTTGGAGGCATATATGTTCAATAACATAACAGATAAAATTAATTGAAAACACGACTAAAATTATCTGATTCTAGTTAAAAAAATTCTACTAATCAATGATAAAAAAATTACGAGAGACTCATATTTTTCTATTAATCAATAAAATAAATACTTAACTATTAATTAATAAGAGAGTAAATTACAAGTAACTCATTACTGAAAGAACCAAAAAAGAAACCCAGAGAAGATACCTAATCTCCCACACTACCTCTTTATAATTTTAGCTCCCAAAAAAATCCCAAAGTTCTTTTTTATTTTTTCGCACTTTTTCTCTCTGCAAAGGCAACCTTAAATAGAAACAGAACCCACACCTTCTCCCTACAAAATCAACTTTAAATAAAAACAAAAAGTGATACGTATAAGCCATCTAATTTTCCCTAACATGTTTATCCTAACTTAATTACAACTAACCCAAAAGCTACTATATAATAAGAATTATCTAAAAATAGTAAACCCAAGTTAAAAAGAAAACTAATCTCTTAAAATTAAAGAATCAAAAAATAATTATTAGCAATTTAAGAAAGAAAATTTAAGAAATGTTTTAGAAAAAGAGTAACTGAGGGACTTCAAAATTTATCCTTTACTTTTCCGCCTTAGTAAAGTAGATCCACGTAGAAATGGAAAGAGTATATTTTTATTTTTCTTTTTTGAACTATTATGTTTGTTAAGGTCCAAAATGGAAAGCTACGAAAATTGACTTTTTTCTTTGGAGCTTAGTCACGCACGCCTATTGAGACCTTAGGTTTGACCTATTTTATCAAACAATTTGACATTTCGCCTCCACTTCATTTATTAATATTTACTTTATAAAATAAGCTAAAATACATGCTACTATCTCGTGGTATAGTGTATATTTACCGGAAAAAAAACCTTTTTAAGATTATTTTTAAGACTTGAAATTTTTAAAATATAATCTTGTAATACATATATTAACAAAAAAAACTGTTATAATTACACTATTTAAGCACTTTGTCTCAAGATTGAATAGAGACCATCTAAATTTTAAAAAAAATGTACCTAAAAATACAAAAAAAATGAAAAAGTAAATAAAAAGAGAATGTACACTTGATATACAATATATTCAAGTTATTAACAACTAATATCTTCAATATAACATAGTTGCAACCAATATCTTTAATATATCTTTTATTTTCTATCTCTCTCTATACAACTCTATCTCCACATTTCTCTCTCTCCCCTACACAAAAGCTTCCATAAAAATATATCATCACCTCTAAAATCTCTCACGTACTCTCTTTTTTCAATATCGAGAATCCATTTATCTCTCTCTCCACATTTCCCTGTCTCTATCCCCTGCACATAAGATTCCATAAAAATCGTTCATCTCTCCTCAAATCTCTCATGCATTTTCTCTCTCCTCCTGTACATAGTTTCTCTCTCTAGTTTTTATTTAATCTCGTATGCATTCTCTCTCTCCGTATCTCCATCTCTCCCTAAGCTTCCATAAAAATCTCTCTATATATGATTTAGGGTTTATTTTAGGATATACTTATTGCTCCATAAGAATCTCTCTACATGATTTAGAGTCCTTTTTTAAGATAATACGAATCAAATATTTTTTTCATTTCAAAATTTTCACGCATGAGGAAATAAGTTCGTACTCTTTGTCTCTCCCTCTCTTTCTATCTCTTCCATTGAATATAGGTATACATATCTTTGGCATCTCTTTCATCCGCGTCTCTCTCTTTCTCTCTCTAAAAAAGTATACATCTCTCTTTTTATATCTCTACACCAATACTTTTAGGAAATATGCATAAGGAAATAGGCTCCTACTCTTTCTCTCTCCCTCTCGCTCTCATTCTTTCGAACCGGACTCGCCCAGTTCGACTCGAAAATCGTAAAAGTGGATCGTATCGGCTAAAAAATCGGAAATTGTCCGGTTCTAGAGAGAACCGGACGATTCTGTACAGTGACTCGCCGATTCACTGTACGGAATCGGCAAGTCCCGTACGGATTTTTTTTTTTTTTTTGGTAATCCATGATCGAATTTTTTGTTTTTTGTAACCCATAATAGAATTTTTTGTAATCCATGATCAAAATGTTTGTTTTCTTTTCTTGTAATCCATGATCGATTTTTTTGTTTTTTTTGTTTTTTTGTAACCCATGATAGAATATTTTGTAATCCATGATCGTAATGTTTTGTAATACATGATCGTAAATG